TTTAATAAGCACCAGTCTTCACTGCAGTGTGTATGTGCGGGGAATTGGACATGGAGGAAGTGGCTTCATTAAGGTTGATTTGGAGGGGGGAGCAAAGACGAGGAAAAAAATTGCCCATATGATTGGCTGGGAGAATAGCTCTGAATTATGGGATCCATCTGTTTCCTGTAATGAATTCATAAACCCATCAAACAATGACCTGAACGAATTGCTGAAGGAAAAAAATAATACACTGGCATGATATGTTTAACGCAGTGAGGCATTGGCATTGTATAATCAAAAATTCTTCTCACATCCAGCACTTTGTAATGGAGCTGCTGTGTTTAATAGAAGCTGTAAATAAATCCTGTCACAGTAGCAGCCAAGAATGCATTTCTGGGTTTAACTGTTTCTCTTCTGGAATGTCTGGTCCTTGAAGGCTTTAGAAATGCAAGTTTTATAGAGGAGCGTGGGGGTTTCTGAAATATAGAGAAATGTTAATGAGGTGAATGAAAGGAAAAAGCAGCCATAAATCAGTATTATGTGGCTTAACCAGTTTCTTTCATTTATGCATGTTCTTTCCTTATGTCATAGAAATGTACTTAAAAGCTATTGTTGTAATTGAAATCTGTTAGACTGATCCTATTCATTATATTAATAAAATCCACCTACAATTGCTCGTAACACTTTTTTATGCAGTTGGGATTCCCGAGATTGTAATCATCAAAAAGCATATGGAGTAATTATTGGATTTGTTTGGGTAAAATTGGATTAACAAGTTTAGATACCATTAAGTACTGATAATTATTACAAGCAAGCTCATTGTTTAGTGTATGTACAGCTCTCGGAATGCAGAATAAGCAGATACCCATCACAAACATCTTAAGAGCAAGCAATCTCAAGGCTTTTCTTTTACTCCCTTAATTGTAATTTTGCAAGAGGCTTTCTACTTCGATGTTTGTGCTAGTTAATCGTGTGCTAGTTCTGAAAATCACTTTGTATTCAATCCTTTCCCCCTCTTACATTTGAAACGATATTTTTAGCATTAAAGCAAATTTTGCCATTAAGGCCACGTTTTAATTCCTGGGTTTCACGCAGCTGCCAACCTCACATTAGCCGTGACAGTGCATGACTTGAGGTGCAGGGGTGGGCTGCCTGCTCTGGCGGGACCGCGAGGGCTCTCTCCAGATTGGCAGCTTGGCCCTTGGGGCTGATTAAATATCGAGCGCACAGAGCAGCGGCAGCGGCGCAGGCAGCCCCCGCTGACCGTATGCAAAAGGTTCCTGTCTGCTCCGCTTTTTTTAGCGTGCAGTTGGCTAAAACATGACGTCTTTGTACATTGTGTGTTCTGCAAGGGATAGCCATCGTCTCGAAATACATCCCTTGGAGGAAGGAGAACGTCTAAGAGGCTTATAAAGAGGTTCTTAGAGCAAATATCCCATGGCAGTTAATAATTAAGAATCTAATGCAGACACTTTGAAGGGTAGGTGTTTCTCACAGTGCATAGCAAAGGAAAATTGCTGTTTAAACATTGCTGGAGATGACTAATAAATAGGTGTGGAGGTTTTTCAGAGTCCAGTCCTATTGTCTTTGTAGCATATATTCCCCAAATATTAATGCTGTATTTAAAGGCTAATTTCTAGCCTGATACAAAGCTGGAATTTGGGAATCAAACCTCTTCCTGTGCATTCTCTTTGCTGTATGTCCTGTCAGTATTATAATTAAATGGTTATTTTCTGGCTACCATGATTTGCATACACAGCGCTTGTGTAACAGCTTCACTGAACTAGTCTTGGAGATGTTGATGTACAAAATAAAACCCACGTTGCTGTGTTGATTACAGAAAACCCAGTAATATTGGCATGCAGAAGTAGTATTCTAAAATCTAATGGTTTTGGTATTTTGATTGGCTTTGTTCTTTTATCTGTCCTTCAGATACGTAGAAGGAAAGATTTGTTTCTAACACTGAAATCGGGTTTCTCTGGCCACACCTTTGCAGTGGAGCAGCTTTGTTAATTTACACTAAAGGGTGTTGTGGACTCTTTGACTTGCATTACTGATGGTTATATTCATATGTATGCACACCTGTTTGGAAGTATCAGATGTGATAGATAGATACAGTACTGAGAATATACTGCTTTCTAAAAAGCAGCCTGCCTTGCTCTCTGAAATACAGAAGCCCAGACTGGTTTGGGTTGGAGAAGACCTTGAAGCTCATCCAGTTCCAACCCCCTGCCGTGGGCAGGATGTTTCCAATTAATTAATATTCCTTAAGAAAATCTTGGAACCCAACAAACACTGACTCTGCTGGCATTGTGCCATTAGTGGGTTTAATTCTCTTGTACACTTCTTTAATTCCATGGGAAAATCACTCCTTGGTTTAAGTTGGTTTAAATAATAAATATTAGGGAAAGCTGCAGTTTCTCCCTTTGCCATGTGCTTGTCCCTTCCAGGCCTTTCCCCAGCTGACCAGGACATTTGAGTACTTTGGTGTTGGATGGCAAAAGCATCCAGGAGATGCATTTGGTGGCAACTGGGGAGCAGTCCCCATCCTCACCTGGCCATGGCTTCCTGCCCTACCCCTCTGCCTCCTCTTCCCTGGCATTCCCTCTGCTCTGCTGGCACAAGGGCTGTGGGCTGTTCTGTTTTCCCAGTCGGAGAAGCTTCCTGGCTGCAATGGTTAATTGTTTTTGTGGAGCAGACTATGTCTGGAGTGTGCTTTCTCAATCTTGCGATCAAATTGCAAGGAAACAGCTTCATCCTCTGCAGAAGTAGAGAGTACAATGTTTGTAAATGCTTACATCTCTATAATAATAGTAGTAATAGTAATACCACAGGATCTCTGATTTTCCCATTCATCAGTATTTCAGTCATTCAGAGGATCAGTTTCATAGGTTATCCTGTTGTTTCTTGAAGGCCAGGTAGAAAGGTAAAATCAACAGGTCTTAGAAGAGATCCGTTTAAGTAATATTATGTATTGATGGGTGACAGATGTATACTGAAAGCAAAATAGTTTTCACATACGTATTGAATATGGAAATTTGAGATTTAAAATGAATTATTCTGTATTTTGTGCCATTGTAAAGTTTTCTTTAAATCTTTTTTTAGATTTTTATTGTATTTTTTAATTGTCAGAGTTGGAATAAACTTGGTTTTTGAAGCTCGTGGTGTATTTTGGAAAAGCAAAGAAGGTTTTATTTTATTCTCTATTCTTCAGATATTACTGGTACATTTTTATGTATTCAGGGTTCTTTTTTTGTGATAGAAATAAGCAGAGGTGAAAGGTTATTTAGGCTTTCCAAAGGCAGAAGCAAAGTGCTGATGTTTGCTGTCAAACTTGGTGTATTTTCACCTGTCCGAGCCCCTCCTTGCTTTGAAACCCTGCTTAACAGCACCATGATGCCTGTTCACTGCTGCTGCTGTGGACATCCATCAGTTCTTTGGGTGTGTCAAACCCTGGAGGGAGGCTCGGTGCTGGGTTTATGCCTTATGTACAATGATACGAGGTACAACTTTGCACTTGTTGGATATGGCTTGTGATGAGCCAGAGGAGTACTTGGTTCTGCATGTCTAGGAAGCCCGAATGGCTTCTTCTGGGTGACTGAGCACCCCTGGTCGGTGCTACCAAGTGAGATGAGCAAACCAGTGTGTGTTCCCAGCCTATGCCATGCCACTCGGCTCCCGGTGTCCTCATCCCAACAGGCTTGTGGCTGTGCCCCAAGAGACCCAGGACTGCTGTCTTCTCTGCACCAAGCTGTGCTGGTAAACCCCACCTCAGACTGGGGTGGCGCTGGCCTGCTTATTTAAGGCAAGGTTAATATGGAGCTTATCAAAGATATGCCTGGAGTGCAAATGTAGAAGACTGGGGTCTGGAAATGCTTTATACAAAGGCGACAAGAAAGCAAAAGCTTTGTGTGAGTGCTGAACAGGTTTCTTAACTTGTTTTTTTAGGAGATCATTAGGAGTCTGCAAATTTATGCTTTCTTGGGTATAAGCAGTGTGATTTGATGTTAGTATTAGCAGTCTCGGATCCAAAACTGAAGAATTGCTGAACTAAAAAAAGGCAGTGGGTGCTCTGGATGGGTGCAGTAGCTTGCCATGCAGTTTAAATGAGATCCTGTTTAGTACTGAATTGTCACATCTTCTCTTTCTGCTCCTCCTGTTCTAAACCATACCAATTTGTTGCAGTAAGGAATAAAAGCTTCAGACACTGTAACAGGCAATGCCTAAGCAGAGAATCACCAGATTTTATCCTTATTTTTAAAACCTTACGCTGTTTTTATACCAGTAGTGTTTATAGGATATTGTATTTTGTCCTGGTACTAAAGAAGTGGTGAAAACTATGGAAAAGGAAAGAGTTGAGGCAGTATTTAATATGTGAACTTGGTTGTGTATATAGGAATTGCTCAGTTGCCTGCTGATGTGGTCTCTCCTTTTGTGTAGTGGGTACCAGGTATATAGTAACCAGCATCTCTGCTGTGTGCTGCTGACTTCTCATGCAGCCTGTGGAGTGGGAAAGGTGGGAGGTAAGGCCAGGGCTTTGTACCATTAAAACCAGACCTGTAGGCTCTCGCAAGGAGGTGGGGCCTTTATCAGCTGTATTCTGGTACATAAAGTTTACAGCTGTACCAAACGTGGTTTTTTAGATGTAGGTTTCAAAACTGTTACATAAAATGTTTCAGGAGGCTACATACATAGTATAGTAGTGCACTAACCTGAGTTCTGGTCTTAACACTGTTTTATTTAGAATGTATTCCTTATGTATTTTATAGTCGATAGAATCAAGCCCCTGTGTCCAACCTGGCCTTGAGCACTGCCAGGGATGGGGCAGCCACAGCTTCTCTGGGCACCCTGTGCCAGCGCCTCAGCACCCTCATGGGGAGGTAAACCCTCACTTATTTTGCCAGCTGTTGTTTGGGAGGCTGAAAAGCATTATCTGTTTCTCAGGTACAGAATAAACCCCACCAAACACAACTTTTCTGATACTAAAGCCATTTCTGGTTTTGTTCTTTTCTGTGTAGTGCCAGAACCTATTAAGACCAGTTTAAGCCAGCCCCAACCTGCCGGTACCGGTACCAGTACTTCCACCAGCACTATTACCAACAGCAGCAATGGCAAGCGTGCGTCTGCAAATGGGCAGCAGCCAACTGCATCCCGTTACCTGCCTCGTGAGGTGCCTCCACGCTTCCGCCAGCAAGAACAGAAGCAGCTCCTAAAGCGGGGCCAGCCACTGCCCGCCGGGACTCTGACCGGCACCAGCCCAGCGCAAGGAACTGGCCAAGCAGGGGCAAGTCCTCCTCCGCAGCAAGGAGCAGGTGGACAGCATCATCCCAGTAAGACCCAAACAGGTAAGAACTGAAGCCTGGTGGGATATCAACTCCTTTATGTAGTTCTGCACTCCACTGTTAGCACAAGTGTTGCAGAAACTTAAGGAATGTTCAGAATTGTCTTTAAATAATCAGGATTTCCAGCCAAGTGTATGCTCTTTTTCTTGCAGAATACAGTGTGTCATTTCCTGGATCCAGTCTGAAAACATTCTCTTACCTATTTAGAAGCTCACACTTGTGGGGTTCTCTTGCAGTTGTTTTCTGTTTCTTTGATAGCTATAATGGATGCAGTCCTCAGGAAATGCAAGGATTTCTTTAGTGATCATTCTTACAGAAGCATTGTTGATTTAGGTTATTTCCAAGATTTCACATATTGTTTTGGCAATTTTAATGCCTTTTAAAAGATAATTTTGCATATAATTACAGGAAAATAAGAAATAGGAACTTGGCTTATATTGTGACGCTTCTATGCCTTTGCGTGCTTATGTTGTCAATTGTTATTTTCACATTGGGTAAAGTACTGAAGCTGCTAATGAGAAAAGCAGCAGCTCTCTTCTTATTTGCCCTTCTGTGCTAGAGATCATTTAGCTTCTGTAGTGGAGATGAGCTTAGCCAGTGTTTGGTGTGTATCACCTTTTTCATCGTGCCTTTGTGTGTATGTCATGTTTAGCAAAGCAGGGAGTGTTCTAAGATATAGTTATCTATGGCTTAGAAAAGGTTATCTGAAGTAAGTCCCACAAGGGGGTTTGATTTCTTGGATATTAGTAATTTCTGTATGATCTCAAGTGTTGCTCATTATCACTCATTAATGTGTCAAACATCACAAAATTTGGTTCTGAACTGTCTGCAGGTTTTCCCTTTGGGCATTAATGAATCTTTCACTATTCTGCTGTACTTGCTGCTGAGCTGAACTCCAGCAGAGAAAATTATTTGGTGTTGTCCTTAGAAGTTCTAGCTAGATAAGAAAATCGCCACTCTTGGAAATGAAGCCTTTTATGGTTATTGAGATGCATTTGAACATACTCAGCTACTTACTCTCCAGAAAGAGAAATCTGAAAAGGCAAAATAAAACAATAGTTCATTTACTTAAATGTTGGGGTTCTTAGGGAGGAAGCAGGTTCTACTTGTAGTCTTCAGGATTTGACTTTAGTGAGAGGGAGAGTAGTGAGTTCGCACCAGTTAGAGCAGCATTCTCTTTGCAAAGCATAGCAGCAGGGATGGTGGCTGGCAGTTATGGCTCCTTTCTGATTTGGAGATGTTCGTAAACTGTCAGACTAATGTTCTATGTTAGATTAATATATATGTTTATTATTTTCAGAAATCCAGTAATGATTTCTATAGTAGAGGCAGATTGACAAGCTCAAGTGGCTCAGGCTGTCTGAGGGTCAGTACGAGATGTCTTCCAAACATCATTATAGATGTATCTGAAACATCCTAGATGTTTACGAAACATGCGGTAAATCATTAAATGAAGTCTACCATAAATCATAACATAATCCATAAAAGAACTTGACTTGAAAGAGTGCAGCATTAGCTGTCTGACTTGGATCATGCTGGATGCGTCTCTGCCTGAGGTTTTAGACTTCTTTTCCCTATTCTTATTTGAACTTGCTATATAAAATAAGCACTAGTTGCCAGGCTGACAGGCTGCAGAAACTGTCAGCAAATGTTTTACGCTGTTGAATTATTTCGGGTTTTTGTTCTTTTGTTACTTCATTGTAAGCAGAATGCAGTGAAAGCTGGTACAAATGAGAGGAAGAGGAGAGCAGCCGCTTTTCGGTTTCATATTGTGTTCCATATTGCCCAAAGTTAACCTATGTCAAACTCAGCAATCACTTGAAAGCAATTAATGCAGAGTCAGAATTGTCAGATTGTTGTTTACTATGTAAAATCATACAAAAAGCTTTCAAAGGCACCAGAGAATCCATGCACAGTTCTTGGAGCAGGGAAGAGAATCTTAGACAAGCTAAATCCTTGGCTGCTCACAGAAAGAGACCGTGTTTTGAGACTGAAATGGTTGCATCTTCCTCACAGAGCGAGCTTGCTGAGTACTAGAGCTCATTTAGTTCTCTTTCCAGTAGGTGGAGCATTAGTTCACTTACTATGAGCAGGAGGGAAGACTAAACCTACCTAGCTCAGGTTATAATGACAATGTGTCTGGCTGCTTGGTGAGGCTAGGAGGAGTGTGGAATAGCTCACTTCTACTCCAGTCTTACTTGGTCTCTCATAATGGCTTTGCCTTCACCTTGATGAGCATAAAGAGCAAAGTAAGAATATCCAGGGAAGGCCAAAACCTATTCATCTCAGCTGTTAGGATTTGAGTGACTGTTAGCCTTAGCAATAATGATGGTATTCCCAAAATCCTCCAGCACTTAAGTTAGGAATTTTCCATGAAATTTAGTTCAAACTGGGTCATATTTTTGTGAGTATGAAAAGAAAGAATTTTAAACATGAGGATTCTCACTGAGCAGTACTTTGTCAGAGGGAAACCTTTTACCTTCCTCCTCTTTCCATCAGTAGGAACTATATTGCTTTAAATGTCCCTCTGGTTCCCTGGGTATTTAATTTACTAAGATGTCTTTTCAAGTAGTTCTCAGGGGAAAAGAAGGGAAGGGACAAAAAGAATCTAAAGCTGTCCAGAAGAATCGGTGTTGGGTGCCTGCTGCACATACACAGGTATTTTGTCTGTCTGAACAGCACCTGTATTGCAGAAGAGTGATCACTTCATGGCTGTTGTTGGACATCTTCAAAGTGTGAAGGCAGTCAGCAGCACCTCACTGCTTAGGGTTTTCTCCCTTTCTGGTGGCTCTGAGTGCCTAACCAGAGCTTGCTACACCTGGGCTGTGGACTGCCCAAGGAAGTCTCCATATGTGGCTTCATTATAGTCTTGATGAGCAACAGTAACTTTCTTTTTATGGATGACCTGGTATTAATCATGGAGCCAGTATCCTCGTACACCAGCATCTTGTATCCAGAAGATCCTTAATGGAAATTCATGTCTGTAGCTTTTCTTTTTATGGGGTCATATTCCTTCAGAGTTAACTTGAAATTATGCAGCCACGTTCCTTCCAGGCCCTGTTTATAACTACCTGGATGGAAGGAATGCTGCTAGAGAGGCATTGCCAGCCTCTTCACTGTAAAAATTACGTTGTTTTATCTCTTTATTCTCTTATTAGCAGTCTCTCTTATCTACGCTCTTGCCCTAACCAAAGCACTTATCAGAACTCTAACTGCAGCGTGATGAATTAAAAAGGATGTTCTACCAATGTAAGTCAAGTGGGAATTAATGACCACTAATATATATATTCCTTGTTGGGTTTATCATCCATAAATACCAGTGAAGTGGATGAGAATAGTGATTTTTTGTTTCTCGTTTAAGGCAATCTCCAAAACATGAACTAGACAAACTTAAGAAATTAAAACAAATAAAATATAATAATTGTATAAACTGCATAGACTGTTTTAGAAACTTACCCCTTGAAAACAGTCTTTTATTGATTGTTAACTATGATGAAACTGTTTTCTGCACTACTTTAGAGCATTTTGTATAGAATGGTTACCTGTCTGGAACTTTATCTTGAGCTACAGTGTATATTCTTCAGATGTTCCCTTGGTAGTTAATCCTTTGCAGGATTAGGCCGAAGGAAAGGTGCAGTTCATGAGCAATATTCTGGTATCTAATTGAGTTTGTTATTTTTACATAGAGATGGAGCTTTTAATCTCTTCTCTCCCCAGTTTGCCAACTAACTCCAGTAAATGTGGTGAATACTTCATTTCCTTCATTAAGATGTGAGGCATTAGTGGAAAGGTCTTTTTGCCACGTGATCTCAAATAATTTAGGTAATTTCTGAAAGCCACCATGGGAGATTAAAAATAGCAAGTAATGTATCCTCCTTTGTCTCTTTACAAATTGTGAAGTTTGTATAGGAGTCTCCAGGCAGCCCCTGTGCGTTTGATGATTGTAAGAACAAAGATCAAAAGAAATAAGCAGTTTTTCTTGAAGATGCCTTTTACTTTTCTGCAACTCAGCAATGTGAAACCAGCATCCATCAACTCAACAGGAGCGTGCCATGTCCTGCAGGAGCCATGATAAAACTTCAGTGAGTGGAGTGTTTTGTGGAAGGGAGCTGTAACATGTTTCCAGAGTCTTAAAAAGAAGTGAAAGCAAGTCATTCATCAAAATGCAAAACCACACAAGCATTGTGGAAACTGAAGAGTTGAGCTTTTAATTTGTGCTATCTCTTGTTTCCTGGGAAGTGAGGATTTGCCAGCAGTTAGAGGTTTATTTTCCTGCTGTCGGTTGATGTCCCATTCTGTGCTGAACTTTCTTCTTTTTATGAAGCTCGAAGCTCTATTCATGTTTCAGTATTTCCTTAGCTGCAGTTTGCATATTCATGCTTGTGGCACAGGTATGGTCGTGTTGGTGTTGAGGACAGTTGGAAGTTGCTGTTGTGCAGCAGGTTAACTCTTCTTACAGATCTGTTTGTATTCATTTTGTGTTAGATGTTTTTTTTCTAGTAAGAAAGGTGAAAAACCCCATGCTTACTGTTAAAATCATATCTAATAATACTGATTTCAAACACAGAATCATAGAATAGTTAGGGTTGGAAAGGACCTTAAGATCATCTGGTTCCAACCCCCTTGCTATAACTGTGGCTTATTTAGAGTTACTTCTAATAGGGCAATTCTATGCAGTTGCAAAATCAAATCTGGAGAAAGGTTTTAGGGAGAGATAATATCTTTCCTAAACCCAGTCAATATAGCTGGAAAACACAGATAAGCTTTGACATCCAGGTGTTTCATTGGAGTAGTGACCTTCATGCTAAAAGCATGTTTGAATGATGGCCCAGTTTAGCTCATTGTACACTGTGCTGATGCTAGGTAAGGCCCATGTATGCAAAAGTAGTTCCAAAGTGTATGAACAAAGTCTCATTTCAGCAGTTTGAAATAAGGTTTAGCTTGATTTCCTGACAGCATGGCAAACGGGTGGGTTTCTTGGCAAATAAAGTACGTGAAAGCTG